ATAAAGCATATATGGCCTGCAGATCCCTGGTGGGTATTTTAGAACCTCAACACTATAAAGGTGGCCATACACTTTACAACCATCGCAAGACCTTAGTCTTGAGATGGTTGTAAAGTAATTAAAAAAACGTACAATCTGCCCATCTTGGACAGGCAGATCATACTTGCGATCATCGCAAGCCCGCCCCCCTGAGGGGCGGGCTTGCGATGACCGCAATGCTGAACGGGCAGCGTGCGCACACCGACCCGTTCGGCATTTGTCTTCCGAGCACCGTTCAAAATTTCCTGCTGGTTTTCTAGCATGCTCCTTAGACAAAAGACGTGCGACCGTACAGTAGAAACGGTCGCACGTCTTCATTCACACTGCACGATTCTCGTACGATCGCGGGATTTCCCGCGATTCTCGTACGAGAATCGTGCAGTGTGTGGGCACCTTTAGGTTGTATTAGCCACTGAGCTTCCCTGAATAGTTACATTTTTTGTGATTTAATGTTGTATTTTTTGTTGGTGCTAATAGTTATGTTTGTCAGTCCCGAACCGTGTCTAGATTGGCAGCAGTTCACCGAGGAACCATACGTGCTCTACAGATGTTCATCACTCAGCTGAATGAACGTGGCGAGCAGCAGATACCCTCTCTCTACAAAGAGCTTGGCCATCTCATCCGCCAGCTTTCCCTGTGTACTGCAAAGCTGGAGAATGAAGGGGACCCGGCTGCCTCCAAAATGATCATTTCAATTCTCCAACAAGCTGAGGTATGCTGTATGATTATATCAGGCATGTGATACTACTACTGTCTCTAAAATGAAAGTGACTAGATAGAAAAATGATGTCTGCTATTCAAACTTGTTTTTGAAGGTGACAGTTCTGGGGCTGTCATCTATCCTTACCTTCACTACTTGGTGAGCCACTGACCTGGAACAACCATGTACATATCAGTTGTTCACTTCTGGGTTATTAACCCTGGTGTGTTAGCTTTGTGAATTGAGCCTGTGGTGAGTCTATTCAGGAAGTAGTTTGTTTATATCTTTTTTTTCTGCAGAATTTGGTCCTGGTCACTGCTAGAGGATGCTGAAGCTGAAAAAAACAACTTTGTATTGGGAAAAATAATCAGTCATTTTCTTGTTCTTCATTCAGCTCCCTCTAGCAGTGGCCAGAAGAAGCTGCTCCAGGAAAAGACGATGTAAAACAAACTACTTCCTGGCTGAAGTCCTTCAGTCTGGACCTTTGCTTTATCACAAAGCAGATACTTTGAAACTGGCTTTTTAAGCAGGGCTGGAACAACTAAGAATAATGGGTAAGCAGTAAAAGTAGTCTCATCCTTTAAATCTAACATGCAACATTGTTATGGGTTTGGGCTACCTGAGACAATTTTAGATGTCCAGCATTGCTACTTTAGAATAAAGCCTGATAATGTAAGCTACTGTAGTTTTGTTGGAAATGGTTATCCTACATGAGTCCATAGCACTTAATTTCTTCGTAATATGGTTTGTGGTGATGTATCCAATGTAGTTGTAATTTGGGGTCTCGGTATTCATCTCATATATTTCCTACATTGTTGTGTGTCTAGAATTTAGATTTACTTCTTAAAGATAAAATATCTTCTCAAGCAAGGAAGGTATCCCCAAATTCTGCAGCAGCTAGATCACCGCACACCAGGAAGAGCACTAATGATACCAGATCACCTACTAGAAGGGGCTGTGGTCCCCCACCTGTCCTCAAGCAGAAATTGCCACCAGAGGAGAATCAGAAACGTGTAAACAGGCGGCTTCTAGTTGGTAAGCACATTTATCCTTCAACAGATATTCCAACTTTAAGGTAACTTGTGTTAAGAGCAGCATGTAGGCTTCATTTGCGTATCTCTCCTGAAAATGCTAGCTCCTTAGGGGTTGTGCTGATCTTCTTATTAAATGGCCTGGAATAAGTGTGTCAACGTGGACTTCTGACTTTACTGGCTGCACACTAGATCAGTGTAAGTACATTGTATGTTCATACATGTTACATACATTGTATGTATGTTCACCATTGGTTCAATCCAGACAGCAAGGATATTAAGGCGGCCAGCATTGGCAGCATACTTATTTCTCTAAGTAGAGGATTCCTTTAAAGGAGAACTATGGGGTCAGGGCTTTTCCCCATAGTTTTCCTTAGGATAACGGGAGGACACAAACTAGCGTCCTCCCGTCACCCTAGGCTCAGTAACCGCGAGCTACAGCTCGCGGTATACTGAGACGCCGGAGCGGATCCCGACATTGATGTCGAGATCCGCCCAGCTGCGGGAGTGACAGCTGGCTCTGCCTATCTAGAGGCAGAGCCAGCTGTACCCGCCAGTCAGCGCTGGCGGAGCGGGGAGAGGGGAATCCAGCCCCTCCCCTGTCACGGCAGATCGAGAGGTGAGCGAACCCGGTATGTGTTCACTCACCTCCCTATCTACTGAGCCGACCTGTGACAGTCTCATTGTCGCTGGTCAGCTAGAACTATGAGGTGAGTGAAAAGCACTCACCTCATAGTTCTCCTTTAAACAGAGTTGGTTTAAAAACTAACAGCTTTCAAGGATTGTCATGCAACTGAAACTTTATGGAGATATAAGGTGAATTAGGAACCAGGGAACTATGTACAGACTTAAAGCAGACCACCTCCATCCTGCAGCACTAAGCATTCCGAAACGTGACCTATGGCCGATCTGTTTTACTGCTGGTGTGAGAGATAACATTATGATAGAAAATGTATTGCTAATCACACATGGATGGAAGGACCTTTAGTTGTGTTGTTAGCAATGCTGGAGCGCAGGGTAATACAGTTAGGGTACTGCAGCATCTAGCACTGGCCAAAAGCAATATCATTGCACTGCCTTGTATATGCCTTGTATAGGGAGAGCCACCATATTTTCCTATTACAGATAAAGGCTGTGCTTGCTATTTAGGAATACTTCATGGTTTACTATTTCTTCTTCTTTCACTGACTGGCCTGCTTAGACACAATGATTCAGTATTCTCTAGCTAGCCGGTTTTCTTACATACATCTGGTCACTTGACAGAAAACTTAGAAATCTGTGTAGGACGTAGCAGCATGTGAATATGGCACAACACACAAATAAAACTTGACAGTATACTCTTAAAGTAATTGTTCACAGTCTACCCTCTAAGCATACTTTTGTCCTTTTACACTTGTAATTTTTTTCTCATATCTCTTGGCATGTTAATTATTTCATACTTTTATTGAACTAATGTGTGCGCTTGTATTATGTAGATGAACCCCCAGAGTCACTAAGTGCTGCCACACAAACTGAACCTGAACCAGGGACTGCACAAGAGACATTGCCACAAGAAAGGCAAACAGTACTTCGGTCTGCTATAGAAACATTAATTCATTCTGGTCATCTGAATCGTGTGCCTAGGGGAGGGGCTGGACAGAACAGGAACAAGGGTATTTTGATTCGTCAAAGACCTCAGGTATGTCCTCCTAAGCCAATATCCCTCTAGAACAGTGGTTCTCAACCTGTGTAACCTCAGGACCGACATTTGTGCCTGGTCATTAAGTCGTGACCCAAGTCGCACTGCAATGGTACGCACTGCATTGTGTTCCGGTGTGAGTGAGTAAATTGTGGGTGGGAGGTGCGTTTGGGGTGCCATTCAAATGCACCAAAACGCATAGTAGGTTGTGTGGTACAGTGCGTTATTGACAGAGGACTGTTCGATTATCGCATTGTACTAGTGTGAACGGGCCCTCAAAAACACCGACAGACACACACAACTACAGACACAATCTCACACACTCCAAAAAAATGTTTTCCTTTCTTTTTCTTTTTTTTAAGTTCCACCCAGTCTCCCTACCTTACGAGAACTGGAGTGGGGTCCAGTGTGGGCTTCTGTGCTGTAACGGAGCTTCATCCATATGTGCATTGCTTGTACAGCTCCCTTGCACACCCTGTGGCGGTGGCAGCAGCCAGAATGTGACATCACTCCGGTCCAGGCACCTCTGCAGGATATGTGAGGGAGCTGTAAGCTATGCATCTATGTTTTAGTGAAAATTACCCTATTGTATTCCCCCGGAGTGAGTACTTTATTCTGTCTTGGCACCTCTGGCAGTGCCCACCACATTACAGTATGTAGCTCTGTATCCTATGGGAAGTATACTTTTTGAATAACAGGATGGAGGGGACACATAGAGCTATAGTTCTATCTTATTTTCATCTTAGAATTGGTATAAAACATGTGCCTAGGCAATATACATTTAAAAAAAAATATATATTAAAATCAATGAGGTACGTACCAGTATTTGGGCTATTGTTGCAATTTTGTTTTACTTCAGATGGTGATTGGCATTGCCTAGTATTGTCTAATGTAACAATGGTGCTGAAGTGCAGCATCTAATCATACATGTCTTCAAATCAATCTTTGTCCTGAGCTTTGTTCATTTCGTATTTTAGATTAAGCTCCACCTCTTTCATTACTGGGCCCAACTACCCTGCCATTTTACTGTTACATGCCAAGAATGTCTGCTGCCCACTCAGGTTCTGGCATTTGACTGTTTATTGATGGAGTTGACCTTAGTAATGGGAGGCGGTTGTGCTTAATGTTGATTTGGAAAGAAGATCCCTTGTAGAGCCTGGGTCCAGGAATCTAGTGTCTCCAAAGGCAGAAGGAATAATAGTCTAATGGGAACTTGTGGTACTTCCCCTGCTTGAGCCGGACTCTTCAGCTTGTATCAAGGAGTCAGAGGTCACCTGAAGTTAGCCATCTGAACCTTGTTTAAATACACATTGGACAGTTGGCAAGGGTAGCAATTGCCCAATCATTGACTGGTTCTCCTTATATTACCATATGATTAATTGTAATAGCAAATGTTCCTAACATTTATACTCTTAAAAAATCTTCTATATAGTCATATTGGTAACTATTGTTTTACAGTTTTCAATTGGTCTTCTCTACTGGTTACATATGTAGGTAAAACACATTGGAGGTAAAACACATCAATTCTGTACCACAGCAAGGCAATGATAACCAGGGGAAGTGAGACAGATCCTGAGACAAATTCATTACAAGGTTACTTCCATGACTTCCATGACATAAATTCTTCCCTTTGCTGCTCTGAAGTATCACTGCAATAGAATGAATCCTGCCCTCGACTACTTCTTAATTATGGGTCTGTTTTAGAGTGAAAATCTTCTTGTTAGTAATAAATCTATCTCGGAACTCTGCAAATGTGTTGCAGTATGCTGCTCAGGACTACAGACGCAGGGAGCTCAAATACACGGCCTGATAAATGTCCCCAGTGTATGATGTTTGTGGTAATTTTCCTTAATAGACAGAAAGCATTTGCAACTGAACATTAATTCAGGCTTGATTAGCACACAGGGGAATACAGTTTTTATGATGCAAAGTGTTCGCTTATGCTACGTTGTAGGGAATCCGACTGCCTCGAAAGATGGAGCCCTCTCGGCATGCACACTTCCAGGAGAAAACTGTGGCATTCAAGCTAAAGGAGAACCGTCCTGTCATCAAAGAGAAGAGAACTCCATGGGTGCCTCCGAACCCAACATCCCCACCAGCCTCTCTAAAAAGGTACACCACTAACCACTGGAATTGTGTGTGTAATTCTTCCAGATCTGGGCAGTAATCCAGTGTGACACTTTGCCTCTGTGCAGGAGCTTCCTGTTATAAAGACAGGTCACTGCTGCTCTCTCTCCTCCCCTCCTGTAGCTTTCTGCAGGCAGTCTGAAGTGGGTGGCACCTGCTGGGTCCCTCCTATGTACAGCACTGTACATGGTTATGTACAGCACAGTACACAGTAATACCTGAGTTTGCAAAGGAATTTGGTGCAACAAAGTGGATTAATAGCCTTTGGGGCAATTGATGAGCATGTTTACATGAAAGGTTTTTTATTTTTGTGCTCAGAGTTCACCTTTTAATAATTTTGCTTTTTTGGCTTATTAGACACTTTGTCCTCTGCGAGAGAGTCATAATAGGGATCCAGAAAAAAAAATTATATATATATATTTAACCCCTATTAATAATATTATTCCCCTATTAATCCCACCTTGCCTTAACCACTTAACCATCACGTTCTCAAACAATTCACCACCACACAGCTACCTCCTCATGTATCGCTTGCCCCTCCCTTTTCGATTGCAAGCCTTCACGGGCAGGGCTCTCCTTACCATCTTGTCTTGAATTGTATTGTGATTGTAATATCGTCCTTATATTGTAAAGCGCTGCACAAACTGTTGGCGTTATATAAATCCTGTATAATAATAATAATCCCTCCAGGCCATTTTTTTTTTTTTTTTTATTACATTTCAAGGTTGAGAATTAAATCCACTCTGTTAATAAATTAGACCATAATCAAAAATAAGAATTTTACAAACATTGTTTCTCTACTGCTGTCCCCCATTATAATTTATAACATTATGTTAAATAGTTGAATAGTGTTTTGTGGCAGTTTAATTTTGAATAAAGTTATAACATCAGTAAATCACCCTTTTAATTTTACACTGCCCAACTAGAGTCAACTGGAACAGAGAAAAGAAAAGACTGGATGACTCTCCATCTCGATTATGCAATGAAATCGACTCACTGAAGGAAAATGAAACTGAAAAGGAAGACGTGACAAAAGAAGCTTCAAGGTGATATATTTAAAGAGAAACTGAATTCTTAAAGGAGAACTATGGGGTTAAGGCTTTCCCCCATAGTTCTCCTTAGGGTAACGGGAGGACACAAACTAGCGTCCTCCCGTCACCCTAGGCTCAGTATACCGCGAGCTGCTGCTCGCGGTATACTGAGACGCCGCAGCTGAAGCGGATCCCGACAATTGTGTCTGGATTCGCCCAGCTGCGTGACTGACAGCTGGCTCTGCCTATCTAGAGGCAGAGCCAGCTGTACCCTCCCCCGTCCGTTCCGCCAGTCAGCGCTGGCGGAGGGGGGAATCCAGCCTCTGCCGTGACAGGATCGAGAGGTGATCGAACGCCGGTATGTGTTCGCTCACCTCCCGATCTACTGAGCCGACCTGTGATAGTCTCATTGTCACAGGTCGGCTAGAACTATGAGGTGAGTGAAAAGCACTCGCCTCATAGTTCTCCTTTTTAAAGCTGTGACCAAAAAGGCAGACAGGGCAAAGGACAAGAAACCAATATTGCCTGTGGTCTCCTTGAGGCTGATCTTTCCCCATTACTGACTTAACATGTCTTGTTCAGCATGGGGTCTTCATCAGAAAGGCTCTAGTAAGCCTAGCAGTTAACAACACACCAAATCTCCTGAGACCAGCATTCAGAGGCAGCAGTTTAAGGTCTCACAGCAGATATACAGCTATGAGGCGGTAGGCACAGAAGTGCCTAGACACCTTCATGCAGAAGTACTTTTATTTTTTAGGAGGAATTTCAGACACAAGGTACACATTTTTCAGGGTACAGCTTGGGCACAATTAATATTCTAAACGTATGTAGCACATTTCCATTTGAGTTGATGAGAGTCTGTTCATTATATGTATTTGCTGTTTCTTAGGAGGTTGGCTTGGTTTGATTCTGAAATGGCAAAAAGGGTGCATCAGATTGATGATCTATACAGAAAAGCAATAGCCGATGCGCAGGATCTTAGGTAAGAAGGTATAAAATTATTGCCTGAAGCTTAACAACAATGATATGCTGAAAACGAGGTGGCTAAGGAAAGGAAACGGGTATATTTCTGTTCTGGACCCTGTTGGGAAAATTTACAGTGCTCTATCTCCCTTTGACTGGTAGTTACTGGGACTGTAAGGGCTCATTTACACCATAAGCAGTGACTGGTGTTTTTCAGCAACTAAAGAATGCCAGTCACCACTAGAGCACATAGAAAACACCACAACGCAGTTCTGGAAAAATGCAAAAAATTTTTTTGCCGCGCACTGGATTGCAATACAGGTCACCACACTACAGCGCAGCACACCACACCTGAATGAGGTGTACATTGCCCACACACTAAAACTGAATGTTTTAGCTTGCAAGGGAATGTGAATAAGCCCCAAGAGTGATGACCTCTCAAGTGGGGGCACAGCAATAAAAACATTGCGCCTTTGTCAAGATTTGAGGATTCACTCCATTCATGTCCTGATCATCAGGGAAATCTCCCCAGTAGGGACAGGACTATAAAAACCTGAGAGAGTTTTAACCCTTCCTAAATCTATTCGAAATGAAATTAAAGGAGAATTATAAGGCAAGTGATTTTCACTCAGCCTCATAATCTAAGTCGACCTATGACAATTAAACTGTCACAGGTCGGCTCAGTTGATCAGGAAGTGAGCGAACACATACCGGCTTCTCGATTTATCCGTGCAGAGAGCCGTGACTGTCACGGCTCCCTGCAGGGATTTCCTCCCCTGTCCGATCCTCCTGAGTGCCGAGTGGAGGAGCGCTGAGTGGAGGAACTAGATAGGCAGAGCCAACTGTCACTCACGCAGCTGGGTGGATCCAGACAGAATTGTCGGGTTCCGGCTGCGGCGTCTCAGTATACCGCAAGCTGTAGCTCACGGTATACTGAGCTTTGGATGACGGGAGGACGCTAGTTTGTGTCCTCCCGTTACCCTTAGGAGAACTATGGGGAAAAGCCCTAACCCCATAGTTCACCTTTAAAATTACCTACAGCCCACATTTTTTTTTTTCTGATTCCTGCATCAACTGTGTCTGGCCACCATTTAAAAGTCAATTTGAAAGTGTTATTTTTATTATTGGTGCAGCCATTTTGCCCAAATCAATTCTTGGTGACATATATGTCTTGGATATTTCAACTTGTGAGATCTTCCTGCCATAATTCCACATTGTTCACTCTCTCAACTGGAAGTATTGAGTATTTTCACCCAAATTCCTTCTATTGCATTCTCCATAATATAAATTTTAAAAAAAATGTCAAAAGGGAGATTGGTGTGCAGACCCAGCAAAATAACCACAGAGATATTAAAGATATCACCAACAGGGTCTCCGAGAGATGTAAGAACGTTGTTAATTGTTTTAATGCCAGCAACTATATAAAAAAAAAGAAATATACATTTTCAGTGGATTGACCCTTTAAAGTACACCCTTTGGGAGTATGGTAGTTGTAAGGAGTTCTGAACAGAGTCATCTTCACGTTATTTAATTGGCTCCTGTTTAACTCGTCCCTGTATGCATGTGTAATAGGGACCTTTAAGGTGCCCATGCACTTTACAACCCTCGCAAGACTTTTTTGTCTTGCGAGGGTTGTAAAGTACTTTAAAAAAACGTACAATCTGCCCATCTTGGACAGGCAGATCGTACTTGCAATCATCGCAAGCCTGCCCCCCTGACTGCAATGAGGGGCGGGCTTGCGATGACTGCAAACGGGCAGTGTGCGCGTGCGCACACCGGCCCATTCGGCAGTTGTCGAACCAGCAGGCCACTAACTCGCCGAGAATCGTACGATTCCCGGCGGGTTTTCTAGCATGCTGGTTTGACGGAAGACGTGCGACCGTACAGTAGAAACGGTCACATGCCTTCCATACACTGCACGATTATAGTACGATCGCGGGATTTCCCGCGATTCTCGTATGAGAATCGTGCAGTGTATGGGCACCTTTAGATTACGTCCTCAAGGGCATGGACAGTATGTAAATCGCTGCATAAATTGTCTGCACTTTAAAAAAAAAAACAATAATAAATTACCTAGCTATCCCCCCTCCCGGGTACTTTTTTGCAGTATTTTAGGGATGGCGAGGGGATACAGCTTCAATTAGTGGACCTTGCCACTGAGGTGGAGGATCTGCTTTAAGATCTCGGTCGCCACTTGGGAGTATGGGGTAGCTTATTACTGAACAGTGTGCTTGGCAGGACGTGTATGTTGTGATGGAGTCAGCATACTTTTGTTTTGTTTTTTTTAATAAAGGGAAGAGGTTCATGCAGTAAAGGATCTGGTAGATGACGATTTTGCAAAAAGGAATGCATCAAGACAACAGGTAAAATCTAGAAATGGAGTAAACATTAAAATTCATTATACAGTTACCTTAAGACATTTCTTTGAGAGGGGATTTACAGTACTGATGGGATGAACTTATCCCACTGAAATAAAATAATTGCTATAGAGAATACTGTGTTTGTGTTACAAAACTGAAAGGTGAACTTTAAAGCTGAATGCCAGGCAAACATCTAGATACAGTTTTTGCATCTAAAAAATGTTTGCATATCCTTGTGGATTCCTATACTTGAGACAGTGAAATATATAATTGCAGGATGGCAACTAATCATTAACAACGCTGTCACTTTCTGGTTGAATGAAGTGACGCTATTATGAATACATATTAATGGTGATTTTATTATGCAGTTTAAAGGCATGTAGCCCTCTTTCACATCTCTGTGATGAGCGAGTGCATGCAATAAAGCATGTTGCAATGTTAGGTGCGTTATTTCTTAAGGGCACGTCAACACACCTAGCCATCGCATGTATGTTGCATCACATGGCATGGTAACCTAACCACTTTGAGTGGGTTTTAGATGCTGTAGGCAGCCCATTCTGGACTACTCATGTGCTGCCCTGCCACAATGCACCGTGCAGTGTATCTACAATGTCTCATGGCAGATTTGTGAATGGGGGATTAGTATTTTGGCTTTTTTAATATCCTATGTAGGGCTGCAACGGCTAATCGATTATGAGGAGGGAGAGAGAGGGTTTTTTTTTCTTAATGCAACCAATCGATTAGTTAAAAAAAAATAATCGGGCAAATAATCGATTTATGAAAATAATCGTTGGCTACAGCCCTAATCCTATGTACTATTTAACTTTTTAACCTGCTTACTATTTAATTAGGGATTAGTGCTGTGTACTGTTCAACTATTTTAACTGATTGCTATTTATTTCAGTATTAGCACTGTGATATGTTTCCGATATATTTTAGAGGTTATTTGGGGATGCCTGTTAATCACTAGCTGCTCAGATTAGCCACTTATGGTTTTTAAATGCTGAAGAATGTCTGCTTTGTTTTTTAGCCCAAAAGCCAAAAGGACTCCTTTCCAGAAAAGCAGAGAGATGAAAGTCTACGGGAACTAGATTCATTTGATAGAAATGATTATACCAACATTCTCCCACAAGAGGATAGCAACGTGGAGGCCATGATTGAGAGAATAGAGGAAATAGAAGTAAGATTTTAAACCCGTATTACAACTATAGGAACTGCTGTTAAAATACTAACCATTTTATAGCATATACAGAATATGTTGCATAATATTTACCATTGATTTGCCTAAGCAAATTCCAAGCTCATTTTACTTCATTCAGACTGGACAATAATAGTAAGAGTATACAATGAAATATGTCATCATGTCATAATTATTAGTTTCGTCATACTAAGTCATCTCCATACTATGGTGCATACAGCAGAACCATTTTGTTGTCTCTAACTTTGCTTAAAGGAGAACTATGGGGGCAGTGTTTTTCCCCATAGTTCTCCTTAGGGTAACGGGAGGACACAAACTAGCGTCCTCCCGTTACCCTAAGCTCAGTATACCGCGAGCTACAGCTCGCGGTATACTGAGACGCCGGAGCGGATCCCGACGTAAGATGACGAGATCCGCCTAGCTGCGTGAGTGACGGCTAGCTCTGCCTATCTAGAGGCAGAGCCAGCTGTACCCGCCCCCTCCCCCGTCCGTTTCGCCAGTCAGCGCTGGCAGATCGGAGCGGGGAGAGGGGAATCCAGCCCCTCCCCTGTCACGGCACAGAGCCATGACAGGATCGAGAGGTGAGCGAACCTGGTATGTGTTCGCTCACCTCCCGATCTACTGAGCCGACCTGTGACAGTCTCATTGTCACAGGTCGGCTAGAACTATGAGGTGAGTGGAAATCACTCATCTCATAGTTCTCCTTTAAGATACCAGAATACCTGTGTGACTGGTCTGATGGTTTTTTTTTTTTGTTTCTTCATATTTTAGAAATACCAAGAATTGGTTTGTCAGCGGTTTCAGAAGATAGTCTATTCAGACCCAGATTTTTGGGCACAAGAAGAAAAGGGTAAAGTTTCCTTATTCCTTGTTTTACATACTACAATATTTGCCATGCCTTTTATTTATGTATTGCTTTATTAAGATGGCCTCTCATTACAGAACGATTACATACAAACACGGTCAAGAATCCTAGCTCTCCCCATCCCATTAGGTTCACAAAGGCTACAGGGCAACGGACGCCTGTTGTGGAAATTTTGCTGGAAAAGCCCGTAGAAGGAGAGTAAGTAAAATATATTTTCAGTAACACAACTTTCATGTATTATATGTGTTATCTGTGTTCTCCAGTCTGTCAGTGACTAATTGCTGCCAGCCTTAACTCCATTCCCTAAAGTGGACCCCCCCTTCACTAAAAATCACAGAAGCATGCACGCTGATATAAAGAAAAATGTGGTCATTAGTTGAACATATATTGCTTTTACTTACAATTACTGTTTTTCCACTTCCTGATTGAATGAGGCACTGGTGATGGATCCTGGGAAGGCTACATCACCAGTGCCTTCCTGGGAAATCTCACCTGTAAAATGCAATATCTCACGAGATCTCAGGGGAAAGGCATTTTTCTCTATCATCCATTGAGGGACACAGCTTTGAAGAAATCTGATATGTAGGGTTATTCTGCTGCCTCTGGGAGAAATGCCTCTGCTAGTGGTCCTCTTGAGCAATTATAAGAGCTTTTTCCTTAGCATATAGTTGCAATATTTGCATAAATTAGTTTATTATGACCAGTATGATTTATTATAATGGCCAGACATTTTCTTCTAAACAACAGAGGTTTAGTGTCTTACTGTTGACTATGACAGCAATTATATCTGAAATATTGGTATTGGGGACCAGAAAGCAGTGAGATATCAGTACATTTTCTGCATCCCCCTGCAACTGTGGCCTGCCAGGGTATCACCAATTGGCATAGTGGTCACTTCATTCCCTTTTCTACCATATGTAACACAAATATAACAGTTCCATTGTTGCTCCTACATGTTGTGGATTGCCATGAAGTAGGGGACCACTTTTTGTTGATGTGGAAAACCCCTTTAATGAACTGTATATATTATCTTCCATCCAGTATATTATCCCCTTTTATTTGTGTTTTCTATGTTGTAGTTCACTCCAGATAAACAAAGAAGAGTTATCTCGCTCCTCTCCACACCATTTTATTCCACGTCCTGGATCACATGATAAAGGGCTCATACCTATATCTGTTCCTCATCAAATGCTACAAAGTATTCAGAATTATACAGAAACATTTGACCGGCATCTTCGACTGACATCTCATGAGGAAGTGGGTGCATTCAACCCATGGTACATTGCAGAGAGGTAAGTTATCAGTGCAGTAAGACCCTGTAAGTTGTTGGCATGAAAGCTGTTTAGAAGCTTCCTTAAACATATATTTACAGAACCTCCATATCAGATAATTTTTGAAAATGAAGTTGTTTAACACTCTGTTATGTCGTGTTCCTTCTAAACGTTTGACTGTAAAGCAGCCCTTTTAAACCTTTTGCTATGATGGAACCCTTGAAATCATTTTCAGATCTTGGGGAACCCCTCCAAAAAATGATTATATCTACAGCATGTGGTAGATTAGTGTGATCAGTAAGTTGTGTGTGTATATAGGAATAATTTTTAAAAATCAGAAAAAAATACATTGGTGGTCAGTGAGAAGAATGTCTCTTACAGACAGATGAAAAGAACATTGGTGTCAGTGATTACTTACCGGATAGATGAGTGGCTCTACATGTCCCTTGCCTTTGGCTCTGGCTAGTGGTGTTTGTGCCAGAGCCATATAGGCACTGACAGGAGAAATACTGTATTGGAGCCAGACAGCTAGCATTATCAGAAGGAGGACCGGAAACAGCAGCTTACATACTTCACCTTAGGGCCTATTCACATGATATCAGGTGCGGATCTGCAGACTGATGCAGTGCGTTTTTGCCACTTTTTGGCCGTGTTTTTGATGCGTTCAAGTTTTTTTTGTTTTTTTTTTGCTGGAGTGGGGCTGTCAGTATGTTAGCTGCAGTGCAGTGCGTTTTTGACGCGTTTGCGGACCTGACAAAATGTGACATGCAGTATTTTTTCTGTCGTAAGCTGAACGGACTGCGCACGTGAGAACTGTAGCCCATAAAACACATAGGGATACATTGGGATGCATTTTGAGTGCAGCAGCGTACGGAGCCGGTCAGCACACAAAACGGACGTCGTGGGAACAGGCCCTTAAGGTTTACCTTTCACACCTCTGTTGTTCATCTGTTTTTAATATGCATTTTTATGCACATTTTTATGTCTTGCAGTGCATTTTTATGCAGGAAAAAAAATGATATGCATGGTCCATGGTCCTTCAGTGGAAAATGTGCTTGCTGCAACAAAAACTGCATCAAAGTTGTAACAAAAAAAAAAAGCACCACACTAAAATATACTGTTCCAACGATGATAATATTATAGAATAGTGGAAGGCTTTAGGTTCAGTTTACAGTACATTAAAACTAGAGGTGCACCGGGATGGAAATTTCAAAACCGAAATAAAAAAATTGTCCGAAAATGTTTTTTTATTTACATTTTTCAAATATTTTAATTTATTTTTTATAAACTTTTACATTTTTTTTATTCATTTTTTTTTATTTTTTACTTTATTTTTAGGGGCTTTGGGGTAATGTTAGGGCTCTAAACAGACCCCCTGATATTTCCCTTTTTAAAATAGAAAAAGACATTGAGGACACAAAATGTATATTTACTAATAACTTAGATGGAATCATGCCATTCTTCTATAAATTCCATGTATTCATTATTTTGCAGCTTGGCAGAAGAGATCATGAATGACGCCTTGGGTGAGGTAGCAGCAGAGCTACATGAATTTTGTGATGATTACGCTGAAGCTGTCTTTACTTCAGAATTTATGGAACCTGCAGAAAACAACCACTAACATTATTTACTGTCTTGAAGAGGCGGTTCACTACAATGTATCTGTACAATCGTACCCGTCCTTGCAAAGCAAATTTAAAGCATTAAAGTGTTTCTCCCAGCACACTCTTGTAAGCTGGGATGCTTGTAATGGCTTGTGAACAACCTTAGGGGTAAAGAGCAGCTTGGAGGTAAGAGAACCAGTCTTTTAGAGCCTAAGTACATGCACCATATATTGCCTGGGTAAACCTACCATGAGGGAAAAAAACCTTTTGCATCCGGTGCACACCATGCTAAACTTCCACAATTATGCTTGCACTTAGGAGTCAGATTCCTCTTGGAATCTCACAATCCAAGGCGGGTGCCTCGGTAACAAAAGGAAGGGCACACTTAAAGGAGAACTATGGGGTCAGTGTTTTTCCCCATAGTTCTCCTAAGGGTCACGGGAGGGCATAAACTAGCGTTCTCCCGTGACCCAAAGCTCAGTATATCGCAAGCTACAGCTCGCGGTATACTGAGACCGCTGCAGACGGGACGGGTTCCCGACATTACTGTCGAGATCCACCCACCTGCGTGAGTCACAGCTGGCTCTGCCTTTCTAGAGTCCGGTCCGCCAGTCAGTGCTGGAAGATCGGAGTGTGTAGGGGGGGGAATCCCTGCAGGGAGCCATGAGTGACAGTCACGGCTGTGCAGGGAGATGATCGAGAAGCGAGCGACGGTATGTGTTTGCTCACTTCCCCATCTATTGAGCTGATGTGTGACAGTTTCATTGTCACGCGTTGGCTCAAACTATGAGGCTGAGTGACAATCACTCACCTCATAGTTCTCCTTTAAAGCAACTGTGGTTTATTGTGGTGCATTAGGGCTTCTACTTGGAGCTTAGATATTGGGCACTATGCGCAGTTGAAAGTATGTGTGATCTAAGGTAACATTTGTTTAAGCGACTCTGTTGAATCGTGAAAATTTGTTTTTACATATTTAGATATGTAAATTCTTTTTATTTTGCAGGGGCAGGATGTTGCTTTATGCAGTTTTATGTGCCATGGCAGGTTCAGTTTACATGTTTTTGACTGTGAAAAATGCCTCATCATTTTAGAGCGATTGACATTTCTCCTGCCTTGCCTCTTGTGAAATATTGTTAAGGATGTTGTTTTACTTGGTTTTTATGCTGGATCTGCTGTCTTATAACTTTGTATTCTTATACCTTTTATGTATGATCTACTTTGTAAATGCTACCTCATAAGCTTTCAATTTACCATGCACCTTTTTACACTATTTTTGTATGTGTTTTTGTAATAAATTGCACTAATCTGTTCAGTGGCCTCATAGATCAGAGAAGGCAGTCTACAAAAATGCACGACAAAGCAAATGCAAATACAAAAGCAATATGTATCATTTCTCCAGGGCATTAACCTCTTGCCGTCCGCCCGTAGTAAAAAAACGGACGGACGGCACTGCTGCATCTGCGGGTTGCCGTCTCCAGACGGCAATTTTTTTCATCAATTGCCACTTTTATTAATTTGTACAAATCAGTGCCCCACTTCAGACTGTCACGTTGGAGTCTTTTCTTAGCTTCTTCATCAGTGTCAATGTCCATCACCTTTTTTTTTTATCTGTAATAGTGAAGAATTCAGCAGGGAAGGAAAACTCCATTGCAGATGCAAGTGGCAAAGAGCTAAGACATCAGTTGCAGATCAGATCTCATTGCTGGAGTTACCAAGGGATTTATACAAGGCTGATAAATTAGTTTCTTGTTTATTAAGGGACTCAAGTATTCAGATACTGTTGGGTTATACTGCTGCCTACAGGAGGATTGAACACTGGCAAACAAAAAAATATAGGCCAGCCCAAGGAAAACTCCTCCACTCAATGCCTCAGTTTTAACCGAGTGTCCTAGGAGGATATACTGCAAGTATTTTCTTACCAGTCTGTTAGTAACTAAAAATGAGTAAAAGAAACTGTAGTCACCTCTAATAGGGTCTGCATCATCAGAGACTCCTTTAGCTCCTCCGGGTGAGTCGTATTGCCTGATGTCAGGGGCATTTACTGCAACTGAAGACTTTGTGGCCAGATTCACAAGTTCTCACAGATATTCACAGCAGAGGCTGCAAGTGCACCCCAGCACCTTTTCCTGCTTGTGAACATCTCTGACTCAGATTCAGAATACCAACAGTCTGTCTGTCTGTTTTTGGGACACTGCAGTCTCCTGCTGTCACTACAGAATTACAAGGGATAGTTTTAGACCCTATTGATGCAATGCATACCGCCATGCATTTGAAGAGTCGCTCTACTGTCTCCAGCCTGAGGCCCTTCAGAACTCCTACAGTTGCAAAGATATTTAAACTACAGCCACTACTCAAGGCATTCCTCTTTGTGGACTGGAAGCACTCTGAAGGGTCCTGGGTCCCTAGCGAGAATGTGTTGGAACTGTTCCCCTATGAGGGGCAATTTTGTTAAATTTTAGTCTATACCTGCTGTGGATCCTCCAGTGACCTGTGTAGTAGTTTACCTTTTAGTAGTTTACCGGCTCTCTGAGAAGCTGCTTGAGAATATTGGGATTGAAGGTGTCCACCTTTTTAAAGTGGTAGCTTTTACTCAGTTCGATTCCAGGACTTTACAGAGGAATATTCTTACCGCGTGGGACAAGTCTCCTCTATCAATGGACAAGATGTTCAGATTGCATGTCATGGTGGTTGACATCCCATGGTTTTCATGCTTTTTCTGTATTGCAAATGTTGTCTTTCCTTTAACTTTGGGTAGATCAATTTTTAGCTCTAAGGGTCAGATATCTGCCTTGTTGATCCTTTTTCAACGTCCTCTTGCTTTTAATTCCTTGATTTGTACTTTCATTAATTCAAGGATTTTCATGTGTGGTTCCTTCTATTAGTTCTCTTCTTCCTCTGTGGGATTTGAACTTGGTTTAATTTGTTCTACAAAAAAACCCCTTTTGAACCAATCCAAGTAATTTCTTTGTCTTTGTTATTCAAAAAGGTTGCCTTCCTTGTGACCCTTACCTCAGCTAAAAGGGTTTCTGAGTTGTCTGCTTTGTTTTGTAAAGAACCCAGTTGGTTCTTCATAAAGACAAGGTTGTTTTAAGATCTCAGATTTCCTTTTAACCCAAGTTGGTTTTGGCCTTTCATTTAAACAAAGACATTGTTTTTATCCTCGCTTTGTCCAGCTTCTGTTCATCCTAAGGAAATGTATCTTCATTGTTTGGATGTTGTGTGAGCTGTTAAGAGTTTATCTATCCAACCACAGCTACCGTTCAGATTATTTATTTGTTTTACCTGAAGGCCCTAGAGAAGGTTGTTCAGCTTCTAGATCCGCTATTTATATGCAGATTCATCAGTTTGTCATTTAAGCTTATGAGTTGCAGGATAAGGTTCCTCCATTTCCTGTTTCTGCTCGTTCACTAAGGCGGATAGTACTTCTTGGGAATTTCAGAATCAAGCTTCTGTTTCTCAAACTGCAAGGCGACAATTTGGTCTTGTGTTCACACTAAATTTTATTAGGTTGATGTTTTTTTCCTCCTCTTATGCTAGTTTTGGCAGAAAAGTTCTTTAGGTGGCTGTTTGAGTTTTTGAGCTGGTTCGGCTAGTTTTTATGGTTCCGGCCCCTCGGTTTTGGAATACTTTTGCGTCTCAGAATTCTTCAGAGCTGTGTCCCTCAATGGACAATATAGAAAATAGGATTTTTTTTTCTTGGAGTCCATTGAGGGACATAGCACCCTCCCCTCATTTCCCTTAATACTACTTGCTGCAACTGGCAGGTGGGAGGGGTTATGTCCTTAAAGTGCAAGGCTTTTAATTTTTTCCCCTTTTGTCCATTTCTCCTTAAGGCAGCATATTAACCCTACATCTCAGAAATCTTCTTCATGTATGTATTCCTCAATGGACTCCGTGAAAAAGGATTTTACAGTAAGAACAAAATTCTATTTTTTAGGGGGACTAATACTTCATTCCAAGGGCTCAGAAAAAAAAATGATTTTCACATTGGGTATGTCATACCTGCTACTGCTCAGGGATAGATTACGCCCTCCTGATGCAGAAATCATGTGATCCTGAGACTTACGCAAGAAATGTCAAAGATTCTCAGATCATCTTTGCACAAGATACTAAATTGAAAAAGAAAGTGTAGGAACAGATTTGTTTTGTAAAATAATTTGAAGCGTGTATTTATTTTATATGTTTTATAAAATAACTTATTTCACAAACGTGCCTTTGTCGTCATTTTACAATTGTCACCTTTCTATCTATGTGGTGTGTTACTTCATCAATGAGTTATGTTCCAGTTACTAAAGGTGTTGACTGCTTGGTAGAAACATTGTACCCAGAAAAAGAATTTAGATCAGTGGATCTCAAGCTGTGTAACCTCAGGACCCACATTTATCCTTAGTCATTAAGTCACAACCTAAGCCACACCACACTGTAACAAACAGCATTAAGGTACCGCATATTCCGGTGCAGGTGATCGAACTGTGGGCGAGAGTTGCATTTGGGGGGCGCCATTCAAATGAATAACAACGTAATGCACCTTCCGCACCAGAACTCAACACATGGACACAATCTCATATACACATTGCAAAAAATATATGTATTTTTTTCAGATCCACCCAATCTCCCTATCTTACGAGAACTGGAGTGGATCCTCAGCCTGGGGTCCAGTGTGAGCTGCTGTGCTGTGATGCTGCTCCATCCATATGTGTATTGCTTGTACAGCTCCCATGTGTTCCCTGTAGAGGTGCCAGGAGCCAGAATGTGATGTCACTCTGGTCCAGGCACCTCTACAGGGCATGCAAGGGAGCTGTAAGCAATGCACATATGGATGGAGCTCCCTCAGGGCCATACTCCGAGTGCCCGCCCCCTCAAGCTGACACGCGGCAATGGGCAGCATAGTTTGTGCTGTGCTAGTCGGGAGGCTGAGGAGCGACCCACTGAACACGCGGTCACGACCCACCAGTTGAACTACGGATTCAGATCCATTCTTCTAGTGTGTACACTGCACTAGTGAACTCACATGGAAATCTG